GTCCTTGTAGGTATGTTCCCTCATTTTGAATTTAATTTGGGGCATTACTGGGCACTTAAGGATTGATATAATTTATTGTTTGCCACCTTGCAGCTACAACATACAAACTAAAACATATAATACACAACAAGGTTATATAACAAAAAGAAAAATGCATAATTAGAAAGACATATCCTTGTAGCAAAGTATGAAGTCACTTGTTCATTCTGCTACCACACTTGCCCACTCATTCCAGATATCCACTGCATACTTGTTAATTTCACCATTTGCCCTGGGTTGTGGCCTCAACTTCCACAGCTGATCATCACTTTCCCTCTCGCACTCACCCTCTCCGCAATCATACATTCTTCTCTTATAAGAGTATGCTCAGCATCTTCAATTCCTTCCTCCTCACTCAGATACACCTATTTTGGTCCTCAGTCCAAATCCTCCTTTCTCACTAGTATCCCATTTTTGCGGTCATCCTCTCATTACTTCATCTTTCATTCTAATTTTCACTTACCTCTTGTCATATGCCAACGAAATCTTCCATTCGATTTCCTGATTTTTTCGATGTGATCATCGCCCGCATTAATCATTTCTGCATGCTGCCTTCTTCTAACCCGTATAATCCTCACTTTCATACTTAGTTCCCTCATATACCCAATCATTTCTTTTGCTTTTACCGTGATCCCACCTTTCATCCCTCGTCCATTTGTGCATCTGACGGCGACGTGACTACCTGTTCTCACAATGTCAGAGGTGACCACTTATGCTCATTTGCCTTTTGAAGGCATTTCCATAATGGCTACTATCTCTTTGTGTGCAGTATTGGAGGATACGCCCTCTACTATTTCCATCCATGCCATGCATACTTTATTGTCTATGCTCGCTATACCTCCCATACCAGTCTTACCTTACATCTACACCTGCGATCCATCTACTTTCAAACTCTTACTCTCCGTCTTCTTCATTCATTGTTCATGTTTTTAAGTTGGGTGATTCTTATCTCCACTCAACACTTTGCTCTCAGCAATTTCGTTCCTTCTAGCATGCTTCTCCATCCACCTCGCGTTCGATTCCAGCTCTAACGGTTTCATTCCATTTATCACCTCCATGCTTTCCATCGCTATCCATCCATCCTATCATAAGATCACATATCCTTTGATTCACCTTCAGTTGTCTCACTACCCTACTGACTGTTGTTTTTTCTCCCCATATTTCACATCCGTACAAGATTGAGCTTTTTATTACTCGTTCATACAGTAAGGTTAGAATTTCTTTACGTTTGCCTGATTTTCTCTTTGTGATACCTAGTATTCTTCTTATTATCCCTCCAATCCTGCCTTTCAATTGTCTGACGCGCTCAGTGTAGTTTTGCCTCTTATCCACATGCACCCCATAATTTACCCAGTCTTTTATTTTTTCTCTATCCCCATCATTCCTATTATCGGCTTTCTAATACACATATGAAACAAATCAGCGACAAAATTAATTCACGTGATCTGGGCTCTGATTGCTTGGGCACCGTGCTTAAAAATGGCCGCCAAGTTGTAAAGCGGTCGTTCAATATATCTTCATAACAAATGGGCCGATTTAAATTTTTTAAAGCTCATCATACTCATTTTTTAAGAACATATTTTGTAATTACACATTTTTTCACTAGTCCAGTAGTTATACAGATATATCCAGGTCTTCCATTTTATCAATTTGTGCAGTTATCCAATTAGTACTAGTTTTAATAGGAAAATAGGCCACTTTTACCCAAATTCTAAAGACAGTTTTCGCTCATCAGCGCAGCTAGCACTAAATTGGAATAACGTTGCAAATCTCTCAAAGTCTAGGACAATTCACTAAGGTCACATGTGAACTTATATGTTATATGCATATTAAGTTCGATTGCTATCTTAAAGATCTAAGCACCCATAAAATATATACAAATCATGGTTATTTGGCCGTCTTATTTAAAAATGGCCGGCAATTTGTACAATAGTTGTTTAACATATCTTCTGAAGTATAGACCAATTTTATTTCTTTTCTAGCACATTTCACTCATTTTTTAAAGGACAAAATATTTTGAGCTTATACATTTTTCGTTAAATACAATAACTATTAATACGGTCGTAAACTTTATCAATTTGCGAAGGAATTTAGAAATATTACTTGTAAGAAGAGTCAAAAATATTATAAACTGGCGACCCAATCGCAAAGTATTTTTTACCGTATATATCAATTATAATTAATCGATTTCACTCATTTTTCAGAGGAAAAAATATTTTGTGCTTATACATTTTTCGTTAAATATAACAGCTATTAATAGGGTTGTAAATTTTTATCAATTTGCGAAGGCATTTAGAAATATTACTTGTAAGGAGAGTAAAAAATATTTTAAAATGGCCACCCAATCGCAAAGTATTTTTTAGCGTATATATCAACTATAATTAATCGAATAATCTACAATCACAAAATACGTTTTTCTTTAACGAGGATCAAACGAGCTTGAGAAAATTAAAATCGGTCCGCTGATTACGACCTGATCCATTTGTAAACAACGACAAAATAACGACGATTTGGATTGCGTGACCTGGCTTTTTTATACGTTTCTATACGTGCTTAATAATGCCCTGCATTCAAACTGACTCAGACACATGTGACTGGCTCCTCCCATATTATTTCTGTCCATTTCTCTTGTGTCCTTTTCTCCCAAGGTTTGATATGGAAAAGTAATTGCTTTAGCTTTGAGTTTGAGTTTGTGCGTGTCAAGTTGACAAGTCAGCAATCAAAAAAGTTTGCCCTTCATAACTCTCGTGACGCCACAACGAGCTTTAGTGACAAGAAACAATGGCAAATATGCACATAAATGAAAAAGGGGGTATTTTTAGAAGACTCCTCAGCTTCTCTAAATACAAATCTAATAGACTTCAACGTATAGAATATAATGGTTCATGGTAAGTTCTTAGACCAACAGCTCCGGAAATATAGAGAATTCAGTTGTTGGCAGTTCGTCTGAACTGACACTACCCGTACACAGCAAAAAGGATTGACCGAATATTTAAGAATATTGGTGCAATTGCAAATAACATGTATCAATAGTTTTCGCTTGCAATATTTCTCTCGCTACAGTCTAAATTTACTACTGAAGCTAATTGAAATGTATCTATAATTGAACTGTCGATACGAATTTGCAGATCGGAAAGTATCTGTAGTGCCAGACTCGTATGTATCTGTTTTTAAGGCAGGTCCTACGTAACGTCACAAATTATAAGAGTACTTGGAATGTTCATATATTCAAGAAATTGAGTTGAGGCATGCTTTTGTAAAGACTAAGTGAAGTCGGCCACTTTCATCCTCCCTTATTATATTTACATATTTTCTCGTATGATTTCAATTTTTCCTTGTAAAAAAACACTCCGTAGTAACCTCAAAAGTAACATTATGTCGATATTTTTTTTACAATGTATTGTTTTTTTGTTGACATTATGTAGGTTTTTCTACAAGGTGCACAAACAAGCACTAGCTGATGGAAACGTTGTGAACCCGTTTTGTAGTTGTACGTGTTGCCTAAACGTCATGATGCTTTAGTTATCAATGTTTGAGTCTGATGTGATATAAAATCTGCTTCAGAGATGGCAGAGCAGTAAGTTGTGTACTATAGCTAGAAGGAAACGGAAATGAATTTCAAAAATGAGAGATATAAGAAATAATTATATTGACTGTAACACTGTCACAAGTCATATACATGCTAACAGTAATTACACACAACACGGGTGCGGTGGTGATTTCCCGTAATTCTCAAAGCTTTTGAAAACACAAAAACACGTTGCAAATCGTAATTTATAACTTTGAACATAACCTGTCTTCAGGAAGGTCAACATATAAATAACCAGTCGAGCACAGCTAAAAGGCAGCATATTCAGTAATGATTTTATCACACAGCAAATATCACTGATTTTATACACATGCAGACCAATACACACAATAATCCAGATGCGATCTTGTTATTCAACCAACTTTCTTCTCAGAGATGAAAACTATACCTCGGCTTCACGAAACATATGCAACCAACAATGCGTGTAGTTAAGCTATTGCTCCATAGATGGACGCTCACAACGATACTAGTGAGCAAACGTGGAATGCACCCTAAAAAATACCTGGTCTGCTAGATGACATTTTATAGGATTTTTTGACGCTTGTTAGGTTAGGCGCGGGTATCATGTAAAAAACCTATAAAATGTCAAAAAAAACCTATAAGATGGCATCTTGCAAACTAGGTAGTTTTTAGTGCGCAAACAGTCATTTCACGTTTGCTCACTAGGATCGTTGTGAACGTCCATCTATGGAGAAAATCACTCAACCAAGCTGCACGCATTATTGGTTGCATATGTTTTGTGAGACCGAGTGATCCTTGTCTGTAGTTTTTATCTCTGAGAGGAAAGTTCGTTGAATAGCAAGATCGCATCTCGATGTTATGTGTATTGGTCTGCTGAATATGCTGCCAATGAAGTATATTTATTAGCTGTGCCCGTCGAGTTATTTATATGTTGTGCTTCCTGAAGAAAGGTTATGTTCGAAGTTATAAATTACGAAAAACTGAGGAGAATACGGGAAGTCATCACCGCACCCGCGCTGTGTACTGTTAGCATGTATATGGCTTGTAATTCGACAGTGTACAGTGAATATAATTATTTCTTATCTCTCTCTTTTTTTAAATTCAGCAAATTTGTATATGTAATTTCCAGAATGAATAAAAAAAGTGGGTGGGCAACTAATTTCTAGCTTTGAATCTCAATTAAGAAGAGACAAGAATCCAATGTAATTAACATCAACGCATACAACTTACAGTTTAGTCCTCCAGTAATGCCATCTCAGAAGCTGACTTTACATCACATCAGAGCCTCATGACGTTTAGACAACACGTACAACTAAGTGCTAAGTTAATATCTTGTAGAAAAGCCTACATAATTTCAAAAAAAAACAGCATAATGTCAAAAAAAATCGGCATAATGTCACTTTTCAAGATACGTGATACCCGTGCCGTGCGGAATGGTTTTCAACTATTTTCCTTAAAAATCTAGTATCTAATATATGTCAACATGTTGAACCAAAGTGAGAATTACAACATCATGCACCTTCCTTGGGAGAATGCGTTACAAAAATGTCCATAATTGTACAGGGAGTCATGTTTCATTCAAGGTATGTCAACCCGCATCTACCTTCGTCATATAAAGCCATTTAACTAGGTATTCAGAAACAACTTACAAATAGTAGAATATAACTTCGAAGAATTCAAGCAATGGGCAAACAAAGCATCAACTGATGAAGACTATCAAATATTTTAGAGTGTATTAAAGCGGTTCAGGGTACTAATTGCCATCCTTTTGTTTTATCTGAGACAAAATACTTGAACAACTACCCGTCAAAACTCAAAAAGATGTAGGTATATCCAAATATGAGTTAAAATTGTAAACATGTCTCAAAAAGGCAAGCTTGTTATCCAGGTCATTAGTCGAACACCCCTGTATAATTCTACAGGGATGATGCAGGATTATGCTGAATAGTTTTTGAAAAGGTTTGGGTCTTGGAGCAGTACTATCCATGCAAGTTTGAGCGACCCTGTACATGTAATAGAATTGCAATGTTGCTCATCCAGCCAGTAGATATGATGATGAGAAACTCAAATAATTATGAAACCAATTACTAACGGACCTACTTTCCGCTGTTACAGGGATACGCATTGCCCCACTTGGAAGCTCTGCATTTCGGAAGCTACTTGTGGAAAAACTTGTGTTCTTGTTCAATGTGTTGAGAATTACAACAACAATAATTCTCAACAGTATTTGAGAAATTTTACGTCTCGGAGCAATACTCCATCTTTACAAGTTTGTACATGCCGTGGAATTATAATATTGGTTAATTGGCCAGTAGGAAAAACGATGAAGGTAAAGACGTGAATATCAGAATATGTCGCCTACCGAACCCACAATACACTGCAATATGATGCGGACTGCTCAGTTTGGAAGTCCTATATGTTGAAGACTACACGTAGAACAACGTTGGACCCACTTAAAAATCTACGACACTATATTTTTATAAAAATGCTTAAACAGTTGATCATGTAAGACTTAAGACTCAAAAATTTCAATAAGATACACTGTCTCGTTTTCAAAATATTTGGCTTGAAAGTTGATAAACATAGTTTCTGTCGTATTAAAGTGTTCTCATGTTATTTTATTTTATAAAGGAAAACAACGATAAAGATTAAAAACTGTACAAAGCTTGGGCGCTATTAAAACATTACTGTGAAATTGGAAACTAATTTAGTGTATGAAATATTCAGCAACAAAGCTGATAAATCCCTATTTTCTTTCGAGCTGAAGCACTGAGTTTGGCCAGGCGAGAGCTGAAGAACTCTAAAGCCCTTTTTTCCATTCCTAAGACAGAGAGAAAATGTCAGCCAACAAAGCCATCAGACATCAGTATATTGGTCCGTGTGTAGTTCACTAACAACAGTTCACTCATTGGTCATAAAAATCACCAAACACGACTCGCATACCGTTAACGCGGATGTGAAAAATCATGGAACACATATTCTTTTCGCATTAATCACAGTGATAAAAATCAAATATATTTGTGTATGCTCGATTTTTCACATTTTGCTGGCTTTATGTATCGGTGTAAATCCCTGGTGAATAGCCCGATGTAAAAATGAAATATTCAGCTAGCGATAACCCATCATGTGTCTGTCGTTAGGTTGAATTTGGTCGATTTAAAATAACATTGTCTGTTATTCGCTGATATATGCGTTTCACCTACATTCGTGTAACAAATGGCCTTAGGGTTTAATTGGTTTTGATTACACTCATGACAGTTTTGTTATCTAACGGAAGTTTTTACCTTAGATGTTAGTTCGAAATGTTATTCAGATAAGGATAGTTCTTAGTGCAAGAAACACTCAAATATATTTGTTGCGAATAATGTAAATAATTCGCAATTTACAGATGTAAACAACGCGAAAGCACCTACTTCTTTCTTCTATCATCATCTCAAAAAGTATTTAGTAATAGGCCAGTGTAGAATGGTGTTTATGTCACGACAAACTTATAGTGTCTGTTTACATTTTTATCAACGGTCGTTAAAGAGCCGTAAACCGAGAAGCTGACTTCTTTAACAGACACCTGCCGCTTGTGACGATGCGGGGCACGGCAAGGAAGTGGGAGCTAGCAGTGACCAGTATCATAGCTCAGTCAAATTATATGAATCGCAGCATTCAAACAATTATATGGAAATATTGGCGAATTGTACGTTATTTCTCGTTGCTTAAATACATATTTATACATATGAATCAGCTTTCATCATAATTTAGACGTGTATCATATAATGAGCATACTATACATACATCGATACCATAAAGAAGCAGAAGAATGCAAAGAGACACTATCAATCTGTCGTAAACTATACAGTTTTGTAAAGACTATGGAAGATGTTTGATATGGACCTAACTAGGCGCTTGGTTGGAAACATGTTCATCATCATCTAACTACATCTATACTCGATTCAGACATTATTTACTCTGCGTCAAAAGAAACATGAGCACTCGCAGCTTCTACTCGCTTGTCGCTACCTGTCCATGCATTGGCCACTGGCAAATTTTCCGGTTGTCGTTTGTTTTGACAGGAAGTAATGCGATTCGAATACATTCAATAGTATAATTAATATAGCTATGAGGATAGAGACATAATCAACTTCATCTTTCTGAATTTAAGTTTGCTATTTCTACTCATTTGGTAGATAAATGGGGAGCGGGGAACATTTAAGAGGGCTGCTGTGTGTAGAACTCTTCTGAATCAATTGCCGATACTGCTTTTGTCTGTTCGACCACAGGCGGCAAACTTTGTACAGCTGTATTCCATGCTTATTAGCAATCATCAGCTAGGTCTAGGCTTGGTCTCTAGGTAGGAAAAAGAACGAGTCGCCGGCACCTAGGGGTCACAGTAACCACTCGGCTTTCGATAACTTTACTGTTTCTATAGATAGCTGCAATTCACTCTCGCAGCGGTCGATTCTGATAATACTGCACTTGTGCAACCTTCTAAATAAAGTTGTGTTTCTGGTGTTATAGGCTTATCCATCACTTAATTCGTAAGTCTTTGTAGAAGCAATGTATAAGACTACCCTGAAAATCCGTAGCCGAGCATATAAAGTCATTATCGTCGTCAAAGTTTTACAATTGTCTTATCCAGCAGAATGTAGTGAAACTTGCGAAATGAGCTATGGCTTTTGTTTGCAGAGCCGCTACAATAAATGCGGAATCCAATTTGCAGGAGAGCTTTTGTATCGCCGCGAACGCAGCTATTTCCTCTTGCAGGCCGTGATAAAAGGGAGACTTTCGAGGAACTGCTGCAAAAACATGGATGCGCTAATAAGGACAACAAAACTGCTACTATCTGGACAAAACGATAAAATTTAGTATCTCTTTATCCACCACCTGAGATAAACATGGTAGAGTACTGAGTAGTTAAACATAAGGTACCTTGAAAACTTGGTTCATTTACGAGGTTAGTAAAACCCTATTTGGGCCACAAGGTGACGGCCAGCACCAATCAGGAAAAGTTAACGCTAAATTAGTATGTTACTGAAAATGTGTTGTAACGAAATATCATTTTACTGTTCCTCTACATCAATTCATAACACTTGCAACTAATTTATAACTATGTTGACTGGACTGTTATTCGATCTTAACTTCGCGCTTGCTTTCCACTGGCTCGACTGTGACTACCTGATATTTATGTCCCTGTCTACAATCCGAGAAACATTCCAGCGTTTTCGCGAACTTTCATAGGTGTGGTCTAGCTGGCCGCAGGTGCCTTCAGGCGGATGTCGATCATTCTTGGCCCTCGGCAAGTTAGCAAGCGCTGACGCCAAGTTGCGTAAATCTGGTTGCCTAGCGTCGATATCGGGAGACCGCTCGATGTAGATTTTTTAATCTTCTCATTCAAACATATGTATGTGGAAGTTGTTATTGTCAGCCTCAAAATACCCTCGTTCTGAAGCCACGCAGCGCTGTAGATGGTTCTTCCACTTCTCATAGCAATGCTGGAACTCCGATATTGACATAGCGTTCAGATGATCGGTTACGGCCGTCTGAATGTTTTCCTGAGCTGATTTTTCGACTTCTGGGAAAGAAAAAAGTCACAAGAACTCAAGTCAGGCGTATGAAGAGGCTGAGGAGCCACAGGAATGTTTTTACTGGCTAAAAACTCGTTTATTGACATTGTTGAGTGACAAAGAGCATTATGGTGATGCAACACCCAGCACAAGATCCCAAACTCTGTCGGTACTTTCATCGGTTCTTGGAGATGAAGGCCTTCCGCGACGTGGTTCATCTTCAATCGACTCTCTCCCTTCTGAAGATGCCCTAAGCTACCGGAAAACACGGGCCTTGACAAAACTTCATCTGCGTAGGCCTGCTGAAGTTTAGCAAGAGTTTCGTGGCACTGTGTTCAAGTCTGAAGCAAAACCTGTTAGCACACCGTTGCTCGAAATTGATGTCATTCATTTTTAGAACACAATAGAAAAAACTGTTTCAAAAAAGTGATCAAAGTCATAAGCTGGGGGGGATATACAATGCAATTACGTATAATGTGACTTGAGAAATGTAGCACTTACAACACCAAAAATTAATATAAGGGAAACTATCATTGAAAAACAAGGTATCAACAGGTATGACATTGATTGCATCTCTAACTGCAATCAAAACTCCACCTCCTGTGGACATATTTGATTCATTTAGTCTACGGTCCTGTCTAAATACCTGGTAAGTGTCCGAAAAAAGTTCTTCACGCCGCGTTCCATCTTTGAGTCACGTTTCAGTGATCACAATAAAGTCAAACTCACCCACTGATTGAGATGTATAAAAGCAATCAAATTTTGAATTCAAGCACCTCACATTTTGGTAGTAGATCGATATGATGATAATGAAAATTTTTCAGGTAGCGGGACGAAACTAAAGAACGTATGTCAGGGATTACATACACACATAAGCGTCAGCACATAGAGTCAGATTGCATAATTATAGTACAGCTTTTGTGTGAATTGACTCAATAGCCTTTAGAATAGTATAATGAGGTTATAAAAAACATATCAAAATAGTATATTCTTTTAGAGTACATCTATTTTTTACTTGATTGACTGGTCTATTAAGAATCCCCTATATTAAGTTAGTTCCAATGTTTCTCAAACTATGCCAATTATAGCTATGTAGCTGGCATACTTTGATAGCTACCTGCAAATATTTGGAGGACCGAAAGTCTTTTAATGAGTTCATAAATAAACTCGAACGTCATCAAATATGTATTTGTTTGTTAAGAGCGGAAAATGCTTGGCGCTTGAAAAGTAAGCTTATGTGATCTTTTGTGCGATTAAGACATAAATATCTCAGGTACGAAAGTAGTGCGCGGAAGTTGCAAGGGTCAATTCATAACCACATTTTAATGCAGTTCCAGAGAAGACACATAATAGTGTAATAACATTTCCTCATGAAACACCTACAAGTTCAAGATATGCGAATGCGTAGAGCTATTAAAATACACCGCAAAAACACATTGCAGTAATTATTCTTTTCTGTTTTTCGTGCAAGCCTGCCATATTTCATCTAACTTGACATTATCTGCAAGAATCTGCAATAAAGGCGTGTATGTCGTGTACTCTACTAATGCGAGTCTATTTTTAAAACACTTGTCTAACAGGGAGCACTGCCAAAGACTGTGGATCTATTGGTATTCCAGTGGCAGCCCTTATTTTCCCTTGGGGTGCCATCAAATAAATGCATAAACATGTTTAAAGAAACTAAAAGTTTAAACTATGTCTCCATCTCTTTCTGGATGACCACTTTTAATATCGAAAAGCTTTTTTCAGTGCTCTATTTTCATCAATGATCACAGCGGTCGGCCTTCATGTAAAGTGCTATCGTCCACAATTTTGTGGATCGGCTTTCTTCTAGAAGACTTATTGAACGCTTTTATGGGGGTTCAAACATATCTTGTCCAGTTTAATGTTTCTAAAACACACTACTGTACCTTGACAAACAAAAAGCGACCTAGAGTTCATCCCGTTTCGATGGATGGCCGAGCGCTGCCAAAGAGCCGTTCATTTCGGCTGGTCCGAGTCCAGATTACCGAGAATTTGATTTGGCACGAATGCATCTCATCAGTAGC